AAAAACCGAAACGTCCAGAGTGATTGATTGTTCATGTGAATGACATTGACAAACTTTCAAGGGCACATTTGGTCAATTGTGCATACATCTTTAAAAGTCTGGATTGAAGGGCTATACAGTTTGTTCAACTTAATGCCCATGTTGGACTTTCATATGTGTTTAAATCGTTTAACAGCTTCTTTTGAACGACTTTAAGTCAATACACTAATATTTTGCCTGTACCTTTATTTTACTTCACTTTTAAGGATACAATTTGAGATTAATACCAGGTGAGCGATGCAGGCCTATTGGGCCTCTTGTCGTTCTATCGGGTAACATTATTAGTCAGTACAAGGACAAATATAGTTATTATGGTGTTATAACAAAATCAGTCATGCTATGGCTTGATGACGTTACGTTTGGTACGTTTAAGCTTGCCCAGCGGTTTTATTTGGCCGGAATAACACTAGCTATGGTTTGGAGCAGGTTTGCAACCACAAATTCGACGGCCGATTTCAAAGGTCAGGGAGGCCACGCAGTACTTCACGTAGACATATATGTATATCTGCGGATGCTGTCTGCGTTATCGGACAGTTAAGACACCAAGTACTGCTTCCAAACTCCCAATGTACCGTCTGTTTAGTCCACACACTGTAATCCGTCGGTTGGCTGAAATAGGGCTACGTTCTCGTCGATCGTACCGTGTCCCTCGATTGACCCGACGTCAAACTCTAAATCGCTCAGGTTGGACACGACGACATTAACTATTATCCTTACCACAGTTACAAAAGGTTCCATCCACGGATGAGTCCTTGTATCAACTCTATCGCTAGGGGCAAAACGCGAGTGTATATAATGCATTGTGAGCGTTATCAGGACGTCCTACAATTTATGTCATGATCTTTCCGGTTGTTACAATGTCATGGTATTGGGTTTGGAACATCGGGCAATGAACGTGTGATCACCGACGGTAGCATGAACGCTCAACGCTGCAGAGAGCAGATATTGGTTCCATTTATGGTGAAAAATAGCGGCACGTTTCAGCAAGATAACACAAAACCTCTTGTCGCACTCGTCAACAAGGGCTTTCTTTGTCAACCGAACACCAATGGTTTGAATGGGCATCGCTTTCCCTAGATCTCATTCCCATGGTATCAGTTGCACCGAAGAGTGAGAAATCGACGTCGGCAGCCTCAAACTTTGGACTAGTTGCTTGCGGAGATCCCAATTGGGTTTGTGAACCGACTCATCGCTTTCATACGATGTCGTTATCGTTCTCAGTCCGTTGATCAACGCCAGGGGTTCTATCTTTTTTGCGATATCAATTCTGTAAAGATTTTTACGTATGCTAGGTATACGCTAAAGACGTCAATTCATGGAGACATTTGAATGAAACCGAAGTCAATGCCTTGATACAACAATATTTATGTAGAATTTACAGCAATTTCAATACATTAACGAAATCCTTTTAGTATTAAAATGTTACGTTTCTGTTGGGGCGAGCATATGCCTTTTGCGGGGTTTCTGGTTAAGTGGGATTTCAGTTTCACTTTTAATGGATAACCCAAATTCTGACCTACTTTCTTGAAATGTGGATTTACGAATTCGAAATACGACCGAATTACTCAAATATTTGACTAAGTTATTCAAAGAGTTGACCCGTAAATAATGTGTAATGTCTTTGCTATGATAAATAAATGTGTCATTGTTGTGTGTGACAGTAAATACAAATCTAATACTTTTGTGTGACTGTACTTACATGTGTCACATCAATGTTTGATAGGAGATACACATTTTACTCCTGTGATTGAAAAGAAAACAATATTGAACTCCAGTGTTTGGTAGTTAATAAAAAAAAATCCAGTGTTTGATGGCAAATGCATTTTTTACTCCAGTGTTTGGTAATAAATGCTTATTTTACTGCAGTGTTTGGTAGTAAATACTTATTTTACTGCAGTGTTTGATAGTAAATACTTTTTTCTTGCTCATTTCCTTCTTCTTCTGACGACTCACTTAGGGTTTGACATAAGTCCACATACACTAAATAACTACAAACATCAAGTTTGGCATATGTTATAATTGCCTCCTGCTGTTTCCTCCGTTCATCAAAATCTATAAATATATAACTCCAAACAACGAAATGCAGTAAATGGCTCACCTACGGGTGGTCGTTGAATTTATTATTGATCGTCCATATTACTTTGGCATATTTTACTCAAGTGTTAAATAAAAAATACTTATTTTTCTCAAGTGTTTAATAGAAAATACTTATTTTACACAAGTGTTTAATAGAAAATACTTATTTTACACAAGTGTTTTATAGTAAATACTCATTTTCCCCCTGTGTTTAGTAGTGAATACTTATTTTACTCCAGTGTTTGGTAACAATTACTTATTTTACCCAAGTTTTTAGTAGTTTATACTTAGTTTACTCCAGTGTTTGGTAATCTATTATCATTTTACTCCAGTGTTTGGTAATAAATACTTGTTTTACTCCAGTGTTTGGTAATAAATACTTGGTTTACTCCAGTGTTCGGTAGTAAATACTTATTTTACACCAGTGTTTGATAATGAATTCTTGTTTTACTCCGCTTTTTAATAGTAAATACTTATTTTACTGCAGTGTTTGGTAATAAATACTTGTTTTACTCCAGTGTTCGGTAGTAAATTCTTATTTTACACCAGTGTTTGATAATGAATTCTTCTTTTACTCCACTTTTTAATAGAAAATACTTATTTTACAAAAGGGGTTTATAGTTTATACACATTTTCCTCCTGTATTTAGTAGTGAATACTTATTTTAATCCAGTGTTTGGTAACAATTACTTATTTTACCCAAGTTTTTAGTATTTTATACTTAGTTTACTCCAGTGTTTGGTAATCTATTATCATTTTACTCCAGTGTTTGGTAAAAAATACTTGTTTTACTCCAGTGTTTGGTAAGAAATACTTATTTTACTCCAGTGTTCGGTAGTAAATACTTATTTTACACCAGTGTTTGATAATGAATTCTTCTTTTACTCCACTTTTTAATAGAAAATACTTATTTTACACAAGTGTGTAATAGAAAATACTTATTTTACACAAGTGTTTTATAGTTAATACTCATTTTCCTCCTGTGTTTAGTAGTGAATACTTATTTTAATCCAGTGTTTGGTAACAATTACTTATTTTACCCAAGTTTTTAGTAGTTTATACTTAGTTTACTCCAGTGTTTGGTAATCAATTCTCATTTTACTCCAGTGTTCGGTAGTAAATACTTATTTTACACCAGTGTTTGGTAATGAATTCTTATTTTACTCCACTTTTTAATAGTAAATACTTATTTTACTGCAGTGTTTGGTAATAAATACTTATTTTACCCCAGTTTTTAATAGTTAATACTTATTTTACTCCATTGTTTGGTAATAAGAACTTATTTTACTCCAGTGTTTAGTAATCAATTCTTATTTTACTCCAGTGTTTGGTAATAAATACTTGTTTTACTCCAGTGTTTGGCAAGAAATACTTGTTTTACTCCAGTGTTCGGTAGTAAATACTTATTTTACACCAGTGTTCGGTAGTAAATGATTATCTTACTCCAGTGTTTGGTAGTAAATACTTATTTTACTCCAGTGTTTGGTAATGAATTCTTATTTTACTACAATGTTTGATAGTAAATACTCATTTTCCCCCTGTGTTTGTTATTTAATACTCGTTTTACGCAAATGTTTGATAGTAATTCTTATGTATTCAAGTCTTTTGTAGCTAATACTTATTTTACTCAAGAGTTAAATAGGAAATATGAATTATATCCCAGTGTTTGGTATACATATTAAACTCAAGGTTTTGATAGGAAAAGACTTGTTTTTCTTCAGTGTTTGGTGATAAAAACGTATTTACCCGAATGTCTGATAGTAAATTCTTATTTACTCCAGTGTTTGGTAGAAAACACTTGTTTTACTCCAGTGTTTGTTAGGAAAATATTTATTTTACACCAGGGTTTGGTATGAAATAATTAGTTTAAATCAATGTTCGGTAGGAAATACTTACAGTATGTAACATCAATATTTACATACATACGCAATTCCTTTGTGTTAAAAAACATTGAAATCTCGACTAAATGAGTCGAAATTTCAAAGAAGTCAAATTGTCTACATGTTTCCTCAAAATTTTGATTTAGTCGAAATTATGAGAAAGAAAACTCGAAATTTCGAGAAAGAACATAAAGTTTGCTAATATTTTGAGTTAGTCAAAATTTTCTAAAAGGTATAGGTAAGACAAAACTTCTGGTAAGTAAATCGAAATTTCGAAAAAGAAATCGATAATTATTTTTAAGTTGCTCTTATACCTTTAATCCATATGTTAGTAAATAAAAAAAAAATCTTAATGGTTTTAAATGTCATTCACTCAGCTTATTCAACACTTTCATTTCTTTTGTTTTTAACTACATTGTAATGTAAGAATGTAATGCAAATCAATAAAAATGGAAGTAAAGTTATGAAGGATGACAATTTGTTTTCAATTTTTGAAAAATGTAACCAGTTTTTTTTTTTATAAAACGCTAAGTTTGTTTTGAACACAAACAGGACTTGAAAATTTCTTTTGTGCGCTTTCAAAAATGGATGTTTCCTTTGTCAATCAAAGAGTTAAATGGCCGGTGTACCAAATCTAAACCACTTAAAACAACTCACTAAACCACAGTGGGCCAAATCAGTAAAGTTTGCTGTCAAAATCCATAGAGACATTTCGCCAAATTCTGTATACCGCAGGCAGTCAGGGGGACGGGTGAAATGTTTACCAATTCCGCTCCTTACTGGATGTTAAAAAAGGGTCATAAAGATTATTAATCGATTTATATATACATACACATGAAAATTGCTGCTGAGGAATTAAATATAAAAAGTCATAATAATAATATCGAGAACAGACGGATGTGTTCTTATCTACGCTATCATTACCACTGAAGTGCTCGATATGTTAAAATAAACACCGGTGATGTATCACTGATCATTATTCCGATTATTTTGTCTTTTTTTCAGATAATGGATTGGCAATACGATATCTGTACGATACACCTACATCACATTTTATGAGCAATGGCCAGAACGAATCGTGAGTGATGGAGTTCCATAAACGTAAACGATCTCTCACTCCTCCACTAAGAGCCCCTGAGACAAAAATCCAAAAAAGAACCCATTCAGAACCAAACTATGAACGCCAATATTCTAGCTACACGCCATCATGGAGAAACAGATCTAGAGAAGACAGACGAGGGTCCTATGACAGGGAAATATGGATGGGAGATTGGGGAAGGGGAAGAGGAAGGGGAAGAGGAAGGGAAAGAGGATTCGGATGGAGAAGAGAAAATCATTCATGGCGAGGAAGGGAGATCAGAAATTACTCCTTTTTTTCTGAACCGTCTGATGCAGCCATAACGTGTGGAATTGATGCTATGAAGTTGACATCGAAGCTTCAGAGAAACGTTAATAAAAATAAAACAGAAACGATCAATTTTCTTCACGAAATATGCCAATCGCCGAATAGACATTGCGTAAGAAGTGTCTTCAAAACTTTGTGGAAAGACAAGTTTTTCGGGCGGGAAGATGTTTTAATACTGCTAGAACAAATTTTGTTAGATCAAACAACGGATGAACTTGACACCACTGTCTTGCTGACAGGAGACATTGTTAAGTCATATTGTTCCTTCCTAAGCAGTATTGGACACGTTGATGAGGTTATGAAAGACTTTTTGAACCGATTCGAAGCACTTGTAGTTAATTCTAATAGTTCGCATCCACGCTCTCTGGCTGATTTTGGAAAACTAAGATCTCCGGCAGACCACGACCTCGGTCTGGTTCTTAAACCTGGCATATCAGCGTTATACAATAACCCAAAATTTGAAGAACGCCAAATTACAGATTCTTTTGAGAACTCACGCAGTCTTCTTGAGAGGGTATACTATCTGTACAAAGAAGACATCACTCGTCCACTGGTCCGTGGTTTACGCAAACTAAGACATTATTTGAAAAACAGCACGGATCTTGAGAAATTTCGTGATGATGACATACGTGTCTTTCGTGATTTGCAAATCATCTCAAGTATTGCTAGTCAATCCAATGGTCTGATATGGGAGATGCAGCTAGATACAACTCAGCCATTAGTCAAAACCATAATGAATAGACACAGAAGGCTATTACAGAGAGGAACTTTGATTTGTATATCAAATGATGTCTTCAAAAGAGACATCGTGTATGGAACTATTGTAGAAAGTGACAAAAAAGAGGATATGACAAGGAATGGCATCGTCCGAGTCGAGTTTCAGCAAAGTTTTACTATAAACCAAGGAAACAGCGGACAATTGTTTACATTGGTAGAAAGCAAAAGTAACTGCGTGGCATACATAGATGCTCTAATAGCTGTTCAGGTACAGTTGGATGCAAATGAGCAGCTTCCGTTTGAACAACAGATTGTATATCACCAGCAAAACTTCAATCCTCCAGGTTATCTCACTTGTGAGCATGATGATAAAAGACGAATTTCTTTTGAATGTCTCCGAATGAAATCTGATATTAGGAAAGAGAGTATTGAAGCAAGAAACTCCAACGACGAGACAGGAATCGTCAAAGACATACTTGAAGGAATGCTTTCAAATATCTGTGCTGAAAGGTCAGATGTACACATATTCGAAACAGAAACATGGGCCACTCCAGATGAATTGGGAATGGATATTTCCCAGTACAGGGCATTCTCTGACGGATTAACACAAGGATTGTCTCTTATTCAAGGTCCACCAGGTACGGGAAAAACAGTCATTGCTTTGAACATATTGGAGATGATGCTGAATAATCAAAATGTCTGGAGCAAAGAGATTATTGGACCAATCATTCTTCTTAGCTATACAAACCACGCTCTTGATCAGTTTCTTGAAGGTATAACACGTATGCCAATAATGAAATCAGCCCGGTGCACAGATATTGTCAGGGTAGGCTCGCGATGCAAAACTGAAAGCTTAGATAAGTATAATCTCGCACATCGTAGAAAAGAGAGGCATACAAAAATTCGAAAGAAAGCACTTTTAGAATTGCACGTGACTGCTGATCACCACAAAGAGCTGTCAGAAGCCACCAGGACTTACCTTACATCGCTCGTTCACGAAGATTTTTTGCGGCAAGTCAACGCAATTCCGGAAAACCTTTTCTGGTCGCTGAAGGAACGAATTATATCGTCATTGCCGTCAGATGGAACTTATCTTTGCAAATGGCTTAGAATTTTCGTGGATGATTTTGTCCTGCAGAAACGAGAGAACGCGGAATGTTTCGATACAAGTGAAGAAATGGAATCAGCTGAAAATACATCTAACGACAGGTTCGGTCTCGGAATTGACCTAGAAGACTTTGAATTTGAGTCGATTCTGTTAAAAGATCTAGACCGTGCCAAAGATTTAATGAAACAACCAACACCTATTTTGACATCTGAAACCGAAGAGGATCTGAATAAGGGAATCAAATACTGGTCTTTCATTTCACCGAAGGCCAAGCTCGCAGTACTACAAGAAGTGAAACGCCGTATCATGCAGACTAAGCCAATGTCAGAAGCAGAAGAATGTAGCATTGCAGATGTTTGGGTCCTATCTGTCGATGATCGATGGAGATTATATAAACTCTGGATCAATAAAATTCTCAGGACATTGAAAGATGACATGATGTCAGTTCAGATGAGTTACAAGAGTGCATATGGTAGATGCGAGGAATGTCGGCATTCCAAAGACATTGAAATTTTCAAAAACGCAAGAGTCGTGGCCATGACCACATCACGAGCTGCTATTGATCATGGAAAACTTCGAAGGATTAACTCAAAGATCATGGTTATTGAGGAAGCAGCAGAGGTACCAGACCATCACATATTGGCGAGTTTGGTCCCATCACTTCAGCATTTAGTGATGATCGGAGATCATCTACAGCTCAGGCCAGGATACAACGATTACAAGACTGCAATGAGATTTGGTTTGAATGTGTCAATTTTTGAGCGTCTGATAAGAACAGGACTTAAATTTCAACAATTGCAGTTCCAGCATAGGATGAGACCTGTAATTGCAGATTTGTTAACTCCGTCTATATACAGTGAATTACAAAACCACGCAAGCGTTATGGAGATTACAGATGTCCGTGGGTTGCAGAATAATATGTTTTTTCTGAACCACAGCGAAAACGAACATGCTGATTCACATCAGGATAAGAAGAGCCACAAAAATCAACATGAAGTTGATTTTATCGCACAGTTATACCGATACCTGCGGCTCCAAGGTTATGACAGTGGAGATATTACGGTGTTAACAACTTACAAGGAACAGGAGAGACTTCTACAGAGAGCCATCCGAACTATCGAGAAAAGTGAGAGGTTTGTATTTAGAAAACCGAAGACCAGCTATTGCGATCTGAATTCAAAACAAACTGGATCTGACAAAACGGGTCCGTATCATATCAGCAAATACAGCTCGATAGACGCATTGCAATTAGAGAATTTTGAAGAGTGCAAGGAAACCTCTCCAGGGGCACGAGTCACCACAGTTGACAATTTTCAAGGAGAAGAAAACAAAATTATTTTGCTATCACTCGTTCGAAGCAATTCAAAGGGACAAATAGGATTTTTGAATGAACCGAACAGAATTTGCGTAGCTTTATCCAGAGCGAAAGCTGGTCTTTACATAATAGGTGATTTTAACTTACTTCGAAAGAAGAATGATCTGTGGAGGCAAATCCTTCATAAAGCAGAAACAAAAGGATGCGTAGGATCTTCACTTACTCTTTACTGCAAGAATCATCCTCAGACTAAAACAAACGTTTCAAAGGCAGTCGATTTTCAAAAAGTACACGATGGCGGCTGCAGTCAGAAATGTTCTGTTTCACTCGTCTGCGGTCATGACTGTCCACGAAGATGCCATACAGATGATCCAAATCACGAACTTATAACATGCAAGTCGATATGCGAAAAACCGTGTTCTTTGGGGCACAAATGCCAGTATTTGTGTTACAAATGTCACGAGGAATGCTTGCCCTGTAAGGTCAAAGTGTTAAAGACTCTACCAAATTGTGGACACAATGTGCCTGTACCATGTTTTGAAAAACTAGATGAATGCATATGTACCGAACCATGTAGGAGCATCTTAGAATGTGGACATCAATGTCAGAGAAAATGTGGAACGACATGTAACAATTCCGAAAACTGTGATGAACTCGTGAAAGTTACCGCGGACTGCGGGCATGATATTCAGACAGCATGCCACAGTAAAAAGGATCCGATCTGTTCGGTCAAGTGCAGGACGAAACTGACCTGTGGTCATTTGTGTAAGGGAACGTGCCGATCATGTTTCTCTGGTCACTTACATCAGCAATGTCGGGAAAAAATACAGTTCAAGCTAAAGTGCGGACACACAATCGCAATTGATTGTATTCTAGAATATTGGGAGCAAACATACGGCGGACACCTCGAAAAATGTCCAAGGGATTGTAAGTGGCAATGTAAACATTTGGCTTGTAAGAAGAGATGTGGAGAATCGTGCACGAGATGGCCATGTAATGTGCGATGTACACAACGGCTTAGATGTAGCCATCTGTGTGCTCTGTTGTTGTGTGATCACAATGGTGCTCACTGGTGTGTAGAATGTTCGAGGGATTTGATAAATGGAGGATTGCCGAGAACACAGCTCAACGTAAGAAATCCACATTACATCAGACTCCAGCGTTGTATGTGCATTTTTCAAACCGAGGTGCTAGACGCGTACTTGATGCATCAAGAAGAGACGTCACCGCGTTGCCCGAAGTGTCGCAAGGATATCATTGATATGCGCTACCACAACCTCTTAAAAAGAACAAGAAGATTGACGGTCTCTGGCAAAAAATGTCGTAACAAGGATTATATTAAATTGCGAAACAGTCTTCAAGAAGTTCTTGGTATCCTTGAAAACATTGCAGAACGTTTCATTCCTGATGTATCCTTAGATCTGAAATATAAAACAGTTTTTTATCGAATATCTTACCGGCTGGAAAGAAGTCGCAATGCGTTCTCAGTGCAGGAACTCCGAGACCTCTCATTGATTGTTCCAAAAATGGTAATATCACTAAAAATGTGTAAAGAAAGAAGCAAATCAAACCCAGAAAGCATGTCCGAGGAGCTAAGCTCTCATTTAGAAGTATGTGAGAACAAATGTAGCAGCATATTTGCCAATTTTATGGAAGACATTAAAATTCCACAGTCTGGAACAAACGACGAATTAAACAAATTTGCAAACACGACTTCGAAAGGGTCGACTCTGATGATGATCTTGCCTTCTATCCAGCAACTCTCAGCGTGATGGTGAAAGCAAGCAAAATGTAAGTTTATTTAACATGTGCATTTGAACGTATTCCTAACGTTGCATTATAAAGAAAAGGTTCAGAATTTATACAGGTACATGTAGCTTAAAAATACAAGCTTGCTTGCGATATTTGCTTATCTGTATCATGAAATAGAGGCCTTTATTTGAGGGATAACTTGAATAATTTTGTATACAAATTAGCCATTTTAGATGTACATGTAGTAATGTTCTCAAAAAATACGATTAAAAAATAATCTAAAAATATTTATTCCTAAAAACTAAGCAATGTTTAGCAAACCATTGTTAAATTGGTAATATCAAAATATTTTATTCTTTTTCTTATTCGACATTCTAATGCAAATCGATATATTTGGAGAATAACGTTAATTATGTAATATAGCACACAAAATGTTCCTCAATTCTACATGAAATACAAGATACAGTAAACGTACATATTTTAGCGCACTCAAATTTTAGTGCATAAAGAAATATATACAAGAACTTTAATAGACGAATTCATAAGTGAACGCAATTTCTAAAGCGTAAAAGTGTTAAAAACACTACGGCTAAAATATTTACGTTTAGAGGGTATTATTAAAGATTATAAAATATGAACTTTTTTTATTTTACATCAATTATGAAACAAGTTATTTCAACTTATATTAATCACTCTTGTTGGACCGGATGTTAGCGCGCGGGGGTGTCTTGCTGTTGGAGGAAACACGAGTACCCGGAGTACCCGGAGTTCCCGGAGAAACCCAAGTGCTCGGGCAGGTGACTCCATACCTTTTCACGTCCGATCGGGGAATAGAATCCCGGCCGCCTTGGTGCGCTATCCACTGCAACACCCAAACACCCAATGTAGATTTATGATATGACATATATACGTCGTGTACATACTGATACGTATATGTAATTAAATAGTATCTTTGTTTGGATTCTTGTAGGAGTGAACGTCCAACGAAAAAACCCAGACGAAGAACATGATTGTTGATGAGTGACATTGCACCTTGTTGACAAAGTGTGGTTTCAGTAGGTACATTGTAACTGGCAGTTTAGAGACAACGAATACATATACAATGTTATACGAATGTGTTTGTAGCATATTTTGACTTGCTAAAGTACTGTGTATGCTTAACCTGTCGGATTACTCTTCCCCTGTGACACAAAAGAGAGAAAAACTATTTGGGATATACTGTAAGAATGGAAACTGATCGCGCTAATTTACTCTACTCGAAAATCGCGAATATTTCAACATCGTGATAATTTCTACCATTTCAAAACGTCGGGTATTATGAGCAAATATGACAGCTCTTTACAATGACGAAAGGAGTGGACGGCTAATTCTGAAGTGTTTTTGATAACCAAGTACTTAAGTATTTCTTATGGAAGAGAAACCAGCTAATGTAATGTATTATACCGCAGGAGAAACATGTATGATAACCACAAAATAACAAATGACGAACTATCTAAGTATTTGATAAGTCACCTACAGCCAGGGATGATAATTATATATGTCTTACAGTAGAGTGTTTATATGTTTTATTCTATCAAGAATTCGCGACAACCTGTATGCGTCCGGAGTACAACTAATTGATGTGATCAAATATCCTGTAATCCGTCCGGGTATGATACATTTTGCCAAGGATTAATGATGTACGATCGCAGATGTTTTTCATTGTATCTTCTGGATTATACTGACGGTGTTTGATAGTTTGTGTACCGTATTCCATGAAAGTATCGTTGGGACGAACTGCTTTATCACTACTCGAGATAACCAAGTAAACTTTGAACAAACAAGGACATGCGAACGTGTATATCTATATTGTGATACCAAGGACAGATTACAATGGCAATATATCAGTGTTTTCATTTTCTATTGCATCACAACGGGAATACTAAGTGTGGACCGTCTTTGAGTGTGAAACAATTACCTGGCCATGGGAACCGTTAATGGATAATACATATAAGTGTTATGATAACTCTGTAACCTGTTATATCTTTTGCCGAGAACATCAAGCACAGAAAATATTGCGTGGTAACTTTAATGGCCTTTGTTTCTCACGGGAAATCTGAAGTATGATTAAATGTGAACTGGAAGAATGAAGTGTTTTCCCACATGGCATTCAATAACCTTTTAAATTACGTACATGGAATACATTGATTTTACCCGCTACCAAATAATATCTTTAATATGTTTTTTCGATCTTTGCTTTCCTGAAATCAAATGATTTATAATAAGCGGGTAAAAAGATAAGTGAGAAACATTGTAATATTCAAAAACATTCCTATTTTGTTTTACTTTATCTAAATTCCATGACAGGATGTCTTATTTCAGTTTCCAGATGAGTAAAGTCATTTTAACATGTACGCACGACAACGAAGCTAATTAACTTCCATCGTTGCCATCAGTATTAGAATATTTTTGCATTTTTGGAATTGTATCGGCAAGTATAAATATGTGTAAGTAAGTTTTTCATAGAAAGAAATGTATTTGTTGGACTTTTAGCGCATTGTAATTATTTTGCACAATCATTATGATATATACATGTACTGCAATTGTTATTATTGTATATGTGTTAACATTGCTTATTGTTTTTGCACTGAACTTTGTTGAAATCTTGACGTCTTTATTTTGCTAAACTTTTTTTAACCATGACATGACTTTAAAAAAAACTAGTTGTCCGAAGAGCCTTATGCTTGACCACAGTTCACTTGTAAATATGTTTGCTCTTATTTTTTAATACTATACAATATCCGATCGCATGGAAACTTCTAACTTATTTTTTTCATTGTGTTTAGATAAAAGTAGGCCATGATTGTTAATAATATGATGTGTCATGTATCTATGATTTTTTTTTCTTTTTTTCTAATGATTGGGGTTTTGTTGAAAAATTTCAGATACATGTAAGATGAATGATATGTTAATCTGATTTGTGTTAGCGGTCTCCGCATTCACATAAAGCACAAACTTCTGTTTTATAGCATTTTATGCTTCAACAAAGTAGTTCATAGGTCGTTATTTTTTTCGTTAATGCTTTTTTCAAATATATTTTTTTCTGATTATTTTGATGCCATAGCTGATAAATGTCGACGGGGCGATTTGCATGATATCAGAGTATAAAAAATTAAATAAGATTTCGCGAAAATACTCAAAATGAAAGAAATAATTTAAATGACAGCGTCAATTGTACATGTAAGTATGCTCTCGCTCTTTTACCTTTATCATACTATTTTGATACTTTTATAAAGTGTTTTATGACGGTTGTCAAGCAAGTTCAGTAATTGAATAATAACATTATATTTTTAACAAGTTGATGATTTGCAAAACAAATATTTGTTACATTATTTTTGTGTTCGTCTGAAGCGTGGTATTATTAGTCTTGTTCGAGTTAGTTGTATTTGATGAATTAAATACCAACCACATTCTCTATCTTTCATTAGCATTTTTATTTTACAACACTTGATGGTGCAATCTCATCTACCACTTCTACATTAAACAACATTGTTTTATTGGATGTTGAAAGATCCATTGACATATGTTATTTTCTGTAAATTTTCCCTTTTTAATATTATTAAACTGTATGTATGCAGTTTATTTTCAGTACACATCAACTAATAGAAAACATTTCAACATTTACGATCTTACTTCCGCAATTTCTTGATTTCTTGACATTGTAGAGATCACAGTCTTAAACTAACGTTTCAATTTTCCTTTTCAATAAATTAAAAACAATTTTGTTTCTACAGAGTTGTTAAAAACCGAATTTGACACAAAGTATCTCTACTTAATGAGTATTAAGGATACCGCAAATTTGATTGGTTTGATCTTATGAAACCAGTTTAAATCAATGGCTAGTCAAATCAACGATGTGCCAACAATAGTCTATGATATATCGATGTAACTGTTAATGTTTGGTCATTTTTACAGATTTGTTTAATATATTTTTCCATATATATTCCATATGATGCTTGAAACGAACGCAATCTCATTCTATAATGTGAACAACATAGTTACCCCAAACAACATTTTTGATGTTCATAACATAATACTCACATTTCACAATTTAGTTGTAACCATTACAATCGTTTCCGTAAACTAAAGCTATCGTTTATAACGTGTCCGAAGATTGCATATTTTTTCTGCCAACAGGACAAAGCTATATGACGTCATCGACTGTAGATGTGAACTGAGTGTACTATTGCCTAATCTGATTAGATAGATTTAAAACATGAAATATGCTGTAAACATCAGGGGAAATGTTCTATTTTCGTTAAGTGATGTGATGTTACTCTAGCTGATCACATGCTATTGGATAGATGCCTTCTGGCCTTAACAAAATTGAAAAGTGTAAATTCAACATGTTTTATTTTTTTCAATTAGGATCCTTTTATAAAACGGTCTAAATTTAAAACATAAAGGAGCATTGCTCATGATCATTTGAATGGCGAGATACATGTACATGTATCCTTTTAGACTACTGATTTTAAAATTTCACAACATTCACGTACGGCAACTTCGATTAATTGCAGGATAACGGATATTGTGTACTGTGTAATTGATCGTACACATCATTGAAACTCAAACCTAGAAAAATATTACCAAAAATGTTAAGTGGTTTACTTACAGCGTTTCGGGATGATGATTTAACCTCTTTACGCAATAAGACTGCTTTACAATTTCGAACTGTTTGTAAATAATTTTGAATGCATTATTCCGCGTTATCACATCTTTGATTGTTTCTCGATTTTTGTGACTGATAAACATCTTGGGGACATATTGTTTTTGCTACATTTCTCATTATTTTTATTATATTTTGGTATTTTTATTATTCTTATTTCTTCCAATTTCTTCCACAGACTAGGTTTCCGACATGTTTCTCGAAAACCTTAGGGCGGAATTCAACGAAACTTTAAATGAGTGTTCGTGTATGACAGGCGGTGACAAGAGTATTTTCGTTTCTCGATCGGTCATCCGACTGGTCAGCCGGACGGCGGCCTCTGATTGGTCGAAATTTAGACATTGTCCGATTTTGATGACATTTAGTATATAGATGTAATATGGCACTACCAAAACAACTGCGGTGTTTGTTTTGTGATTAAGCAAAATGGCCGCCATTTCCTGACCTCTGATTGGTCGAAATTGAAATATTGTCGCATTTCGATCAAATTTGGTACATGTATGTAGGTGAATCATGGGACAATGATCATTTCCGTAAGTAAGGTTTCACATTTCAACAATATGACCGCCGTTTGTTTTCCTCTGATTGGTCAACATTTAAATACTGTCCGATTTAGATCAAATTTGGTGCATATGTGTAGTATGGCACTACGAATACAACTGCTATGTTTGTTTTATGATTAAACAGAATGGCCGCCATTTCCTGACCTCTGATTGGTTGAAATTTCAGTATTGTCCGATTTCGATTAAATTTGGTATGTAAATGAATCAAGGGACAATGATCACTTGGGCCCCGTTTCCTGTCCTCTGATTTGACGATATTTAGAAATTGTTCTATTTTGATCACTCGATCGGCCCCCATTTCCTGCCCTGATTGGTCGAAATTGAAATATTGTCCAATTTTGATCAAATTTAATATGTAAGTGTATCATAGGACAATGATCACTTCCGTAACTTAGATTTCACGTTTCAACAAAATGGCCGCCTTTTTATCCTCTGATTGGTCAAAATTTAAATACTGTTCGATTTGGATGAAATTTGGTATAAAGGTATAATATGGCACTACAAAAAACAACTGCAGTGTGCGTTTTATAATGCAACAAAATGGGCGCCATTTCCCGGCCTTTGATTGGTCGACATTAATGTATTTTTGTTTTTATGAAAATTGGTACAATGTATATAGGTGTATTAGGTGACTGCGAATTTTATCGCATAGGTTTCTATGCCATAGCAACTACACTGAGGCGTTTGATTGGTCGCAGTTGAGAAATTATTTGATTTCACTAAAATTAAGTACGTATATTGTAGTTGTATTAAGGCTTTGCGAACCTTTTCTGATGCATTTTTGCGACTATGTGGGCAGTTTGGGGGACATCTGTAATGGTCCCCCATTACAATTAATACTTGTTCTTATTGCTTTTGTATAAGATATTGCATTTTAATGTAAATGATGTGTTAAATCTACAATATGGCAATGTACATTTATATCTATAAGACGTATTGAGCTGCACTTTTGTAAGAATGGTTATCCCAGTAGTTTAATTACTGTTTCGCTACTGTTTTGCATGTGTTTCGAATGAAATGTAACTTTCGAAAGAGTCCATGTCAGTTCCCGAGCAAAATTAACTTCAGAAAAACTGAAGTTAATTGATGGTCCCGGAAATATTTAAAACTGGAATACCCATTCATGTGTGTTTTCGTTGTAAGTTCATTTGTCATTATATTGCAATTTGGATTTATAGAACAGGAAATAAGAGATAAGGAAGTGATGTACCCTGCAACTGCAATGATGCATACACATATTTAACCTTATCTACATGTATCTGAATGCAATATTCAAGCAATTGAAGATTATACAAATGAACTACCTATGTATTATTTTTCTAAATTGTCTTTGGATGCATTTTCCTACAATAAATCACTATATTGATTTGAATTACATTTTTTTCTTTATTTATAGTGAAAATTATCTTCTAAATATGTTACAAATGAATTGCCTTTGTTCTATTTTATAACCATATTGGACGTGCCAGGTATTGGTACAAATTGATAAAGAAATCCAGGGATATGACCTAGCTATATGTTATCTGGTTTCATCAGTTAATGACGTACATGTAGCTTGATTTCATGCGTCGATAACTCTGAGGACCCACATTCAAACGAGTAAGTCAACGAAAAAACAGTATATAGATATATAAAGAGATAATTGCATACGAAAACTATAAATTCGACAAAGGCAAACAGTCCCGCAGCTCATTTGTTTACATTGCCGGGTATTTTTTTGGAAAAGTGTTGGTCTGCTGAAAAAATTAATACATGCAACTCCATAGTCTATCATTAAAATCCCAAGATGTCCTTGTACACTTAATATGGTTACTACAGGGGAAATAGTACAGAAGATACGCAACGAAAAAGACTTATGACCTTATTCTCGCACTCTGCACTCCGTCATCCCAAGAGGAAGATGTACACTAAAGCTGGTTACTCCAGGTGAAGATATGACCCGGACATTTTTTTTTCAAAAAAAAAAGGGCAAGTCATAGATCAAAGTGATATAATTCTTCCACTTTGCACTCTGTCATCCCAAGATGTCATTGTACACCAAATATAGTTACTCTGGGTGAAATAATACAGAAGACATGCCCCGTTTTTGTTTATAAATTAAGGTCAAAGGTCAAATGATAGATCACAGTGACCTAACTCTTGCTCGCACTCTGCACTCCGTCATTCAAAGATGTCCTTATGCACTAAATCTGGTTACGAAAGAAGGAAGGACGGGCGGACGGGGAACCGGTGGGGGACTATTCATCGTTATTTATCAATACAAGGACGTCAAAACGTTACCACATTAACAGCTTGCTAAGGGTCATAATAAGGATATAAAATGTTACCTGTGTTATAGGGAAACAAATGTATCGAAGTAAATATTTGACAATATCATATTGGTTACATTTGTATTTGAATCAATACCGTCTACGTTAAAAAGAGTATTTATCACAATATCGGCCGGTACATATATATACCTTTCATTGATGCCGTTCTTATTAGGAGAGGCCTATGCAATGTGTATTATAATTGAAGGTCACCACTCATGTTAAATTGTAAGGCAGAAACGGATGACCATATTTATTGACAATATCTTCAGTTTCATAAATTCTCAAATTAATGGGAAACTATTCAAAATCCAATTTTTATCACACACAGAGAATGTGGGCGAATATTCGCAAATAACAATTTTTTGTAACTATCAGTATGTTTTTATCGTGACAATTTTCACTCCATGACATTGGTCGTCCATACAGCGACACCATGCAATGACGTCATGTCTTAATTTTATTTGGACGTGTATCAGTGGAGTTCCTACACAGACCGTTGCTGACATAGAACAGCAGCGACCTTCCGGCCACCCTGCTAGTGGGCACCCTACCTCGGCTACTACATAATCATATATAAGAAGTGTGCTTGCTTAATAAAACGTTTATATCTTTGTTTCTTTACTTTCATATTTGACATGGCTATAACATAGGTACAGAAACACATCACCGCAACTGTCATTGCCTTGCGTAGTAATATAAATCATCGTGCGATCCCTCGGAGACAGTATAGTACCCTCTCCCGTGTTTTGGTGGAACGGGACGTCTATCGGGCTCTGACGAAGCGTGTCCTCGACAGTGCTCCCGTCAGCTATCTGCCAGTAGAATACCTGACGATGGGTCAGTATTAAGACTTCGCGACCGTCGGGGGATATGTCCCCATCCGTCGGGTAACTATGCCCTGTGGAGAGTTGGAGTCTTGTTAGGTAAGAGAGAACAACAGGTATCGAGGAGGTATTCCAAACAGAACTGGCAATCATACCGACTTTACCTTGACCGTCAGATACCTGTCAATAAAATATTTCTTCCTGGTTTCATATTGTAGTGAGAATCTTATTTTCGATTTTATTACCGATAATGTCCGTTCAACAAAGACGACTGTTACGCACGATTTCTCACCCCGACACGATTTCTCACCCAGGCGAGAAACCGTTCTTAAAATTGCTTCGTTCATAACACGATTTCTAACTCTTGCATGATTATTCACCCGGGTGAGAAATCGTGTTACATGTATAGTGATAAGCTTGCATGGTTGTAAAGAGGGAACTGCAGTTATATATAATACATATATACACTAATAATATTCGATGTTAGTTTCCGAACAGATATAAAACATGGCCCATCATTGGGGCCATAATAATTTCTGTGCTGATTTATTGACTGCAATGAATGTAGTTTAACTGACTATTTTAATGGTGTTTTTGAAAACGGGGAAAAAATACTTTTTCCGCAAAACGGCTGCTGCAGACTGGCTTCTGATTGGTCGAAATTTATGCATTGTCCAATATCCAAATGCGAGTTAACTATCATGCTTATTAATATACATGTATGTTTGTGGTGTAAATACGTTTTAGATAGAACATTTTATCAACATGTAATGTGTTTGTTTGTTGCCTATTATTTGATTATCAAATTGACCGATTAACCGGTTACGCGATCGGTAGATTGTTCGAGTAACCGGTTACAAAAATGTGACCGGTTTGACAACCCTAGTAATATGGCATTGCGATCATTTTCTGATAAATCACTTGCGACTACAGGGTTAGTTTCGGTACCTTATGTAACTGTCCCTGTAACGAGTAGATATTGTTATACTTTATAATATAAAAAAAAATGAATGTACCCTTCCAGAGCTATGATTTTACATCTGCTTTAGTAAGTTCATGTTGTGTAAAAAGTACATGTCCTTTGTTCCTTTTGCCAAAGAAAGTTTCCTTTGTTAGATATGACCTACATATTGTTTTATATACGTATATCTCGCGAAAATTGTCTTTTGAAAACGTCTCTATGTTTAGAATATATTCAGTGGAATTCGAACAAAATCAATTCTTCTGATTCAAAAGTAAATGAATAATAACTATAAAGATAAATACATGTACTGCTATCGAAACAGGTGGTAGCATATGTGTTAATTCTCTCACAAGCTAGGTGAACCGGATTGCGTTTGAATGTGTTTAAGAAGGTACGCGCACGTGCATTGTATGAATCAGGCAACAGTATTTTTTTTCATCGTCCAATTGGATCTGTGAAGATGGTTTTTAGACTTCTGTTACACATTTCAAAAGTAAATGAATAAATAAATTGATAGACAAATCAATCAATAGCTATTAGGCATGTTGTACATTGAATTATTAGTAATTTGACAGCATGCCAGCTAATCTATCTACGACATGTACACTTAGGAAAGTTTTTAAGACACCACGGATGAAATCCATTCCCAATTGAGATAAAGAGTTTGGGGTGGGAAATCGTGCCGGGTGAAAAAACGTGTCACCTATGCCAATATGTTTTGCACATTTCTCAAACGGTTGAGAAATCGTGTAGGGGTGAGAAATCGTGTTGCGAACACAGCAATATTAGCAGGATTTCTCACCCGGGTGATAAATCATGTCGGGATGAGATATCGTGCCGTAACTCTAGCCACTTAATAGTATTCTTACCTCCCTCAACATTAATGATCTTGATTGTTTACCAGTCATTTGTTTTTACGACCTGGGAGAAGTAAATCAATGCTAAGGAAAACTTAATGATCCTCATCCATCATAATATAGTTACTATCGTACGGCATGGCCACTACATGTGTATAACCCTGCGAAATACGGTTGGAAATCATACATTATACGAATCTGCGACTCAATAGCGACGTTATCGTAAATATACAGCATGGATGGCTCCGGAATTTTGTATATGATATTCTTAGCACCATCTCCACGGTGATTTCCAATATCACCTACAAATGGAGAAAGCATACATGTATATTTTAATTAACATTTTTATTCTAGTTATCTTGTGGCGCATTAGTAGGTGTATTCGCCTTCGCGATGACACAGTACACGCGTTTATCAAGTGTGATTCATATCAGTTAGAAGTAAAAACAACATCTAATTTAAAATCTATACCATGGTACAAGTGTATTATTGGTTGTGACACAGATCTTCTTTATAGGGGTTGCCGATGAAGCTGAATACGCTTTATCTTCCGGAACACATGGATTCTTTCGCTCCTAGTTTTTTGTGAATGGTCGCGAATCGAACATTACCTTTGTTCGTATTTTGTCCAAGTTTTTTCTAATGTGAGTATGTATTACACCATAGTTGCACCGATATTTTGTAGAAAAAGGGAAACCCTCAAACATTTGAACAAAAATTAGAAATTGTCAACGCGTACAATTAAAAAGACAAAACTGTCAAAAATGATAGGATATAACAAAGTGAGACATGTTGCTGTGTTAATTAGGAATAAACATAATTAGATACAAAGCGAGAATGAAAATGATAGATAAAACCTCAAATCCAGCTGCATAATAAGAGTCTGCTGACGATCTTGATAAACACGAATATCTAAATTTAATATAACAAGAGTGACTCCACTTTTGCTTTTTTTGAAAAATAAATAAGGGTCGAACCTACTTATATATATGCAGTTTCCCCCATCCACGTCGCCGCAAGGTCCACACGCGATGGCCTCCCAGTCGTAGCTATGCGCCCCAGTTACTTGAAATGTTTTCTTTGTAGTTAACTCGAATAAATACGTATCAGAGCATCACACAAGAAGAAGAAAACGCAACTCAAATTAGAGTCTTAACAACTGCATTGACCATAGATAAAGAAAAAACAGTTTATACCAGGGACTGTTGATATAATCAGAGGCGAAGCCGAGTTTTCACAAAACAATATGCACTGCCTTTAGATATATAGTAAGTATGAACGTGTTAGACTCTTTTAATACCCATTTATGTTCAGCATTTCGCAAGAAAAGTCGCAAAGTCGTATAAAAACGGATAAGATACAAACATATGATTTTCTAATCTATGTACGGCTCGTTGGTGAAATTTAATCGAAAC